AGCCATTGGCCTGAGAGGCTGAACAAAGGTCATAGAGGGAATGACTTCTGGTTGACCTGCCTGATGTCTTTTAGTTTTTTGTTTGGTAGAGAAGTTTATAATTGCTCTAGGTAAATTTTGCCTTTTCACTATAATTTATGTTTTCTCTTTTCCTTTCCCAACAGTACTCTTTCCATTCCTTACTCCAATTTTTGAAGTATTAGATATCTCTATGTTTCCAAGACATGTTACAGAATTTTTTAAGGATTCTGTAAAAAAGATGAAAGAAAGTCGCCTCAAAGATAAACAAAAGGTAAAATCTGGTGGTAGTTACATCAAGATGCTCTTTTTCCGATAATTTATTGGGATGTATACCTATGAATTGTGTACTTCTCTTTACACAAAAGTTAGATAGAGAANTATTATATTTATATGTATTACATGTATTACATATGTATTATATTTATCCTTACTACTGTTTCTTGAACAGCAAAATTAATTAAAGCAGGAGACTATGGTCTGGTTAATGCAAAGATACTCTAGTCCAATGGATAACAGGATAAGAGGTCATGGATTTTAGTCCTGTACCTTTGGTCACTCCAAAGAGGCAGAAGGGGACCCTGATCTAAGTGCTACAGTGGGGGCCACTACGTGTGAACATGCCCTTGCCAAGCCATTGGCCTGAGAGGCTGAACAAAGGTCATAGAGGGAATGACTTCTGGTTGACCTGCCNGCACGGCTCACAGGATCGCGCTGTCTCCTGGCGCGGCCGCTCAGACCCGACGCCATCTTAGGAAACTAGCTACAGGATTTTTATAAATGTCCTTTATTAGGTTGAGGAATTCCCTTCTATTAGTAGTTTGTTGATTGTTTTGTTTTAACCACTAAATGGTGTTAGATTTTGTCAAATGCTTTTCCTGCTTCTATTGAGATGATTGTGTGGTGTTCGTTTTTTCTTTTATTAATATGGTGTATTACATAATCTTGCACTTTTAGGATCAACCACACATGCTAATGTATATAATTCTATTTATATGTTGCAGGATTCACTTTGTGAGTATTTTGTTGAGAATTTGTGCACCCATATTTATAGTACATATTAATCTCTAGTTTTCTTTTTCTGTGATACCTTTGCCTGGTTTTAGTATCAGGGTAACCTTTGCCTTATGGAATATTTTGAAGTGTTCCTTCCTCTTCAACTTCTTGTAAGTGTTTTTAAAGAGTTAGTATTAGTTCTTCTTTAAATATGAGCATATTTCAAAAAGCTTTTGGAAAAACAGAATTAAAAGATAATAAGAATCATCCCTTGAACTTTTTGAAGTGCCCTTATATTTGGTAGAATGCACCATTGAAACCATGTGGGCCTGAGCATTTCTTTGTTGGTAGTTTTTGATTACTAGCTTGATCTCTTTAGATGTTGTAGGTATATTCAGATTGTCTATTTTTTTTTTTTGAGTCAATCTCTGTAGTTTGTGTCTTTTGAGGAATTTGTCCATTTTTTCTGAGTTTTCTAATTTATACAATTGCTCTAAAACTACAATTGTTAATAGAGTTCCTTTCTAATCATTTTTATTTTTAAAATATCAGTAGTAATTATCCCTCTTGTGTTTCTGATGGTAGTAACCTGAGTCATTTATTTTTTTACTTGGTCAATCTAACTAAAGTTTTGCTAATTTTGAAGATAATTTAAAAGAACCAGCTTTTGGTTTCATTGACTTTTTGGTGTTGTTTTTTATTATCTATTTCATTAATTTCTACTTTAGGCTTTATTAGTTTATTCCTACTGCTTGATTTAGATTTAATTTGCTGTTCTTATTTTTAGTGTGTCATGGTGGAAAGTTAGATACCTGATTTAAGTTCCTTCTTTTTAGAAAAGAAAGACTTAGGCATTTGCACCTATAAATTTCCCTCAGAGCATTACTTTTCTGACATTTCATAAGTTTTGGCAAATCGTGTCTTCATTTTTTTTTTTTTTTTCATCTCAGTACAATATCTAATTGCTGTTTTGATTTCTCCTTTAGGTATTAGTTATTTAGGAATGTATTTAATTTCCACATATTTATGAGTTTCCCAATTTTCTTTTGCTGATTTATTTCTAGTTTCATTCCATGCTAGTTAAAGGACATGTGCTGTATTTATTTATGCTTCCTACAGTTTCTTGAACAGCAAAATTAATTAAAGCATCAGACTATGGTCTGGTTAATGCAAAGATACTCTAATCCAATGGATAAAAGTCTAAGAGGTCATGGATTTTAATCCTGGACCTTTGATCACTCCAAAGAGGCAGAAGGGGACCCTGATCTAAGTGCTACAGTGGGGGCCGCTATGTGTGAACATGCCCTTGCCCAGTCATTGGCCTGACAGCCTGAACAAAGGTCATAGAGGGAATGGCTTCTGGTTGAGCTCCCTGGTGTCTTTTAGTTTTTTGATTGGTAGAGAAGATTATAATTGCTCTAGGTAAATTTTGCCTTTTCACTATAAATACCTTTTTCTCTTTTCTTTTCCCAACAGTACTCTTTCCATTCCTTACTCCAATTTTTGAAGTATTAAATATCTCTATATTTCCAAGACATGTCACACAATTTTTTAAGGATTCTGTAAAAAGGATGAAAGAAAGTCGCCTCAAAGATAAACAAAAGTTAAAATCTGGTGGTAGTTACATGAAGATGCTCTTTTTCTGATAGTTTATCGGGATGTATACCTATGAATTGTGTACTTCTCTTTACACAAAAGTTAGATAGAGAACTCTAAAAAGTAAAAGGTAGATAGAGTACTCTAGATTTAGAGCAGGAGCATTTTTACATTTGAGCGGCAATGAAGAGGTGGAGGTTGGGGAAGGAAATATGAGAATGAGACTGAGAAACAGCATTTAAAATGTAGTAATAGGCATGATGATTGGTATGTCGTGGCATAAATACTATTGAGAGAAGAACTTTACTACTTCTCTTTCCTTCAAAATAGGATCAAAATTACTGTTTAAAAATTATTTTAGTGATATTATAATTTCCTCAAATCATAGATTGGTAAAGAATCATTTCCGTTTCAAGCCTCTTCTTTTACACACTCTCCAGTGGAAGGCCTGTTGAGACAGCCCCCTGGTGGAGTACAGTCTGTGTTAAGTTTGAGACTCTTATGGCCTGGAGTGGGCATGGGTCTTCTGTGGGCATCGATTCTGCAAGCTGGCTATCCCAGCTTAGTCTTTATGAGGCTTGGATGGCAGCACAAGGATGTCTGCAGGTAAGGGAGGCAGGATTGGGCACCCCAGGTGTCACTAAAGATTGTATAGAGTCCTGGGAGGGTAAAGTATTTGAAGATGCTTGCATACCAGCTTCCCATGAGCTCTGGAAATGTCAGGAGATTGATGCATGTGGCCATTGGTTAAGAATTAAGGCCATAGAACAAAAAGGGTTGAAGTGTGGGACTTCTTCCTGAGGAAGCAGGTATGACAGGAGAAGGAGCAGGCAACTGTTTGGCCAGGAAACTGTGTCCAAAAGCCAGAGAAGCTGAGGATCAGGGAGAGGAAGGACAAAAAAGTTGTTAAGCACAATAGATGGATTCTCTCAGGGAAACATCCTAGTCTCCGAGATTTGTAGATGGATGTTTTTGTTCACTGGTGACTCAGGCAATACAAGGTAGACTTCTGCACTTCAAGTGACAATGTTCTCAGAAGGAAGGTGAAGGACTGTGCTCCTGATTCACTTCGAACTTTACACGTGACTGCTTGTCATTGAAACTTCTCTTTCTGCTTCCAGCATCGAGTAGATCTTCTTCAGCTGATGATTGACTCCCAGAATTCTGAAGAAACACAGTCCCGTAAAGGTAACCAAAGAGTGCTTCAGGGATCTGCTGATAGGGAAGCTTGAGCTAGAGGGTTGTTGTGAAAAATGTGCTGGAAGTTTTCCAGGTAGATGGGAATTTCTGCCAAGTTACAGAAAGACACATGTTGGGATGTTACTAATGGTAGCCAGAGGCATTTGCTAGAAGCACACAGGAATAACTATGTTCAGAGGTTGAAAGGCAACCGTAAACAAGAACTTCATGGCTGGTAGTCAGCCAGTTGTCTGTGAATCACCCACATGAGAACAAATGCTGATTCTCAGCCTCATCCAGTCCCACTGAACCAGAATGTGTGCCTTGAAACTTGCAGCTAGACATCAAATCAGGAGGCACACTCTTCCCAATAGTGGTGATATTAACTAAGAATGCTTGGTGAAAATGTGTTCACTAGCTTAACTTACTGTAAAGTTCTGTTTTTCCTTTTGTAATTAATAAGTACCTCGTGGGGGAAACCTTTGAGACTGTGTAAACATCCTGTTCCTCTTGCAAGTTTTACCTACGAGTTTTATCATTCATGGATGATATTTGAGTGAAACCGTTATGATCATTGCAAAATGATAACTTTCTAATTCCAATTTCTTCTACAATTATGAGTTGGCATATCATTGTAAGAGAACATTTCATTCTTCCCTATTGATTGATTGACTGGTTGATATCACTGTGTTCTTGTATATTACCAGTTTACTCTCTTACTATCACTATTTATTATGATGCCCAAATTCTCACAGTTTTGTCCACTAGAAGCCCTTTCAAGCAAGGTCCTGAGTCTTTCTTCTTCTTTTATTTTTTATTTTTAAAATAAACGGTACTGTTTTAGAGCAGTTTTAGGTTTATAGCAAAATTGAGGTAAAGGTATAGAGATTTACCACATATTCCCTCCCCCTAATATACTTTGCCTCCTTGTGAACATCCCCCACCACAGTGGTACAGAGTTCTCATTATAGAAGGGCCAATGACCGTCTCTAGAGTCATTCTTTCTTCTGCTATTTTAGTGTCATTTATTAGACTAGAGTCAATCATCGTTCTTCTAGTTTTTGGCCTCTCTCTGTAATTTCTATCATCCTGAGATCATGCATTTTGAAGACTTGTGTTTCAATGTTTTATTACTTGATGCCTCTCAAAGGTGTTGTACGTTCAACAGGTTTTGACAAATCTAAAACAACACATACAAAATATCCTTATCCTTTTCACCTATGACATTCGCGGCACTTTCTTGCTTTCTGGTGCAGGATATTCCATCTTTCCCTTCTATTTACCCTGACCTGTTTTGAAACCAGCCATTTCTCCAAGGAACCCTGGTTCCTTTTAGTGAGAAATGGTATTTAGACACTAAACTCTGGGAGCCAAATGTGATCATAGCTTCTGGGGTTTTTTTGCTTCTTGATCCTCCAAGTGAATCAAGCTACAAAAATGAAATATTTTTATACAGAACTGAGAGTTAGAAATATTTCTAGATCTGGGCTGGCCCTATGGGTCACTTGGGAGAGTACGGTGCTGGTATTGCCGAGGCTGCAATTTTGGGTCCTATATAGGGATAGCCGGTGCGCTCACTGGCTTAGCGTGGTGTCAAGGGTTGTGATCCCCTTATCGGTCAAAAAAAAAAAAAAAAGAAAAGAAATATTTCTAGATCTATCCATATTCAGTAATATAAACAGGCTCTGTAGCTCTCTCTCTCTCAAAACGTAATTCCCCCATTTATAGCCTATTTTTGTGACAGACATAAATACTCATAAATAAATAAATACATATATATATATGGTCAATTTCAAGCTACCAGTGGTTTGCCAACCATGTCACAAAATTCCTGAGTATTTAACAATTGCTTATTGAGAGCAGGGATGGGCTGGTTCCAGCACACCAGTATCAATATGTCTATGTGTACATCTACTTCTACCTGCAAGGAGTCTTCAAAAAGTTTACAAAAAGATTCACATTATCTTTTAATTCTATTTTTCCATATTTTTGAAGCAGTGTCCTATCTATGTATCTGTCTGTAGTACAATACAACTTTCTGCAATGAAGAAAATAGTCAATAATTTCACTGTTCAATACAGTAACCAGTAGACACATGGAGGTATTGAGCACTTTGCATGTGGTTAGTGGGAGAAGGAATTTGATAGTTGAATTTGCCCAGAACAGCATGACAGAAGTCATCACTGGTAGATCAGAACCCAGCAGATCTTTCTCACACTCATTTCAGATTGTTTTTACTTATGAATTACGTGGTGGGGTGGGCAACATGTTTATTTCTGTGTTCTAGGTATTTAGAAGTCCTAATTCAGTCCCAATCAAACAGACCAGTTCCTGATCATGCTTAGCTTCTCTCAGGAAAAAAATCAAGAGAGAGTCCAACTTATAATCATAGGGCTGTTTTGTGAGCATAAAGTAGGGCAAAGAGAGAGGGCATGTACGAAGGGACATGACATTCAGGCCATGATTGAATAAGTATTGCTAATTTGACTCACTGGATGCTATTTTCTGTATTTCATGATGGCCAATGCCCTTCTACAGACTTTTCTTTCTTCTGCAGTTTTAATGCTATTCATTAGACTAAAGTTCATCATTCTTCTAGATTTTTGTATATTCTACAGACAAAATTTCTGTCATGCTGAGATCATGCATTTTGAAGATTTGCATTTCAGATATTCTATTACCCAATGCTTCTCAAAGGTGTAGCCCATGCTTCTCATGCTAGGTTGTGCACACAAATCAGCACATCCTGCGAAAGTTCAGATTTTGATTTGGTAGATCTAAGTTGGGGTTTAAGATTCTATATTTATATTAAGCTGCCGGAGGCTGCTGATGCTGCTTGTGCATGGGCCATATTTTGAGTAGCAAGAGTTTATCTGTAGCCCGATATTGTTTTCTTAATTTTCTGCAAACATGTTCAGATGAAAGACTCTTTAATGTTCCTTACACTTAAGCCTTAGTATTTCAAACTCTCTCAAAATTTTCCAGCTGTAGTTTAGTTAGAATAAATTATTCCTGCGGCAGGATGCTACCCCATAT